GGCCATTGAAAGAGGAGGATACAAAAAGGCTCCAGGTGTTTGACCACCGTTGCCTTCGTAATATAGGACGTATTCCGTGATGTCACCATGTGAGTAATGCAGAAGTTAGGTGTAGAGTTTTGGGGAGAAGAGGTAAGTCAGTTGACGAGGTTGTGAACCTTCATCGACTGAGATGGTTGGGACACGTACTACGTATGCCTAGTCACCGATTGCCTCGTCACACAATGTTGGCCGAAGTAGGTTCAGGCTAAAAAAAGGCCCGAGGTGGCCAGACTAAAACATAGCAGCAATATATGAAGTCTCTGACTGTTGATTTAAGCCATGTAGGGCCATGCAGACTGGGTGATTGGGGTCCACGGGACAGGAGGAACCAGTGCCTGGAGACTCTAGGGGATATGGCTGAGAACCGATGTCAGTGGCGCAGATGTATACACACATTATCCTCATCTTAACGACGCTATACCGAATCTCACCATTTTGTCACTCCTTTTTTCTTTCTTCTCGTACTTCATATTTCTTTTGACTGCATTCATTTATCTTCATCCTTCACCTCACTACCTTTCTACTTGATGTACTGATATGAGGTGTGGCAACTCGGACCGTTACGCAGTAATGCCTGGTCCTGTTGATAGTGATTGATTGATTGACAATAGCTGTTCGTGTACTGTTCAGATGAAGATTCGTGATACAGCAATGCCTGTATACAATATACATCTACCAAATGCTGTTCGGTAACAAGAGAAATGAATTCTATCCAAAGCTGTCAATTTTACTATGTACAGCGAAATGTTCAGATATAGCCATAGTAGCATGCGACCTCAAAGCTCATGTAGGGAAGCAGGGGCGATCAGAAAAGCATTTACAGAACCAAATACCAGTAAACTGACAATGGGGGTGGTCTCTTGCGATTTTGTTTTGACAATCACTTGCTTTTGGTCAGCATTAACTTCAAACATACCGAGAAACACTGACTCTTTTATCGTCCACTGATAGTGAGCTAACGAAGAACACGAACAGAATATATTGCTATAGGCCATTGTTAGAGATCATTGAGGGATCTGAACATGAAAATAATCCCCACCTTAATGATGTTCGACGTGATCTTTAATCTATCGCAAAAACAGTGTGAAAGATAGAGGTAACCTATATCCAAAGGTGAGCAAAAGGCAGTAGATTTCCACAACTAAGAGAAGAGTGTTCGATGCGATAATACTCGTTTCAGTTGATTCTAACAACAATGAGTGAGAGCTGCTCAAACGGAAATTGACGAGTTTCTGAAATGATTGCGAGTAGTGGTGGGTGATGAAAGCGATGGAGGAAGCATCGGCACCAAGTAAAATCCCACGTACTAAAATACTGGGAAGAAGGCGATGGTCAGTAAGACAATCAGTGAAAAGAATGGGACCCTGATGGCCTCTAACTCAGGACAGATGGCTATTACATTGGGTGGAACAATATGAAACAAAATTCCACTGGTCCATAACCACACTTCAGGTACCCAACATCCAACCCGAACCTGAATGAGGTCTAAACATCGACCCTCCAACTCTTCTCGAAGTTGAGAAGGCTATCTCAAAACTGAAACCGTGTAAAGCAGCAGAACTTGACGGTCAGCCAGCCACCAGAGGTTTTAACGGAAGGAAATAGGGAATTACTGAACAGAGCAACGGAGATACTAGGGAACCTGTGGAAACCAGTGGTGGTCATTTCACACTAGTCCAGATTGTTAGTTCTTCCGGTTTATGAAGAAGGGGAGAAGTTTTCTTTTGACAAGTATTGGAGAATCAGTTTGACTGTCATAGTGACTAAGATTTTACGGTCTATAGTTTTCCAATGCCTAAATGGATCTCGGGAGCAGAATGGTAGAAAAAACCAGGTAAGTTTCCAAACTAGACGAGGATGCATCGATTTAATCCCCACCTTTCGACAGGTTCTAGAACACACTTTGTTGACGCAGACGTGTTTTGGTGGTGTGTGGTTGTGAAGCGAGAATCAAGTGAATGTGCAATGCTAGCCATAGATTTCGAATCGAACTCACGTAGCCGTGTCAAGGATTATGAGGAATTGTTGTCTGAATTGACAACAGTCAGAGGATGTGCAACATGGATGTATTTTGTCGTCCTTCACGTTTAGTTTCGTGTCACTTGTAATAACGGAAGCTATCGTAGGTACGTCTGAGATAACGACTAAATCCCTGGAGGGTATCTGGTTGAGTAGGAGTACAAAGACTACATTGTCCGGTTAAGCAAGGATACTGACAAAGTGCCAGACCTTCTGAACGCTTTCAGCAGACACCTGAGTATGTTCAATAGGGCTTTCGCACCTGTGAAATGTAAGATGATACCTCAGGACTGATTTGTAGTGACTCTCAGTTTACAGGTAAGGAGTGAAGTATTAGAAGGTGTTGACCACACTTCTCTGAATTGACTGACGAAACCTGTGTTCGGATAGAGACGGCGTGTTTTAAAGTTGCTAACTTACATCACCTTTTGCGCTGACTGGTCAGATAGCCAGCCGAATCTTTGTTAAAGTCCAGTATGTTGCGCTGCCACTTGCTGTCCCATAGAAAACACCTGTAAGACATGGTGATTGACAGTAGATGTCGAAAGATTGAAAATTTTTGAGTGCACCTGTCCTCTCGGTGATGCTCATGTGCGGCGGAATCACAGTGTCATCAACGTCAAGGTTGGGTGAAGGCTACTAGGCATGGCGGCTAAGCATGCAATTCAGTCTGTCTGTTTACTGAAGGTGGAAGATACGGAGAGTTTCTAGGTTTCAGAACACTGTTGAGTTCTTAGCATAGGCCGCATGTCATTGTTCCAGTTCATCAGTAACGCAGTCAGCCAGGCATAGAATTTTTAGTGAAAGAGGTTAGTCAAGTCTCTATGAGCTGTGATGGCTAAGATATGGGTTTGCATGTCTAGTGACCACCGGGCGCATCGAGAAATGTTAGACGAAGTAGGCTAAAGCTGGAAAACGTTATCGGCCAAAGAAACATATAACATCAGTCCCTGAAGTCTCTGTTTGGAACAATGTATGGAAATGTGAACTTATCAGTTACGGTCTGATGATCATCTGAAGTAGGTTGTTAGAGACTCCAGGTGATATGACATAGAAATAATGTCATTGACACAGATGGATCCACAAATCGCCTTCACGCTAATCGCCATAGTGAATTACGTCACTGTTTTACTCATTCTCCTTCTCTTTTTACGATTTTCTGCTACTTTCTTTTTCATTTCTCCAAATTTCATCTGAATGCTTTCTATCGTGATATGCTGATATAAAGTGTGGCCACTTGAACTGTTACGTAGCAATGCCAGTTTCGATGTTAATGCTGACTGATCGATTAACAGATAATGCTCACTCTATTCCTTACAAAATTGGGAAGTAGTATCACTTGATGCTATACGGAGAGATCCCGCCAGAGTTTCGTTCATTATGACTGACTTCAGCACTTGAAACCAACTGGACAAACCAATGACAAACATGTAGAATGTTTGTGATTTATTTTCATATTCGTACAGGATTAGCAATACTAACTTGTCACATCCTTGAAGTGGTTAGAAATTTCTGAAGATTTCCAATTGCAATCAAAGAACTTCTGGTATTCCAAAAAGACCATATAACTAACAGGCGACTTATGGAAAAGCAAGGAACAACAAACGTATAATTAAATGATTACATTGCAAATAAATAACTTTCGACTGTCAGGTTGCCTTTCTTATTTTCAAGGGTTAAGCGATCAAGGCAACGGTTCACAGACATTTTCCAGTGTCGAAAATAGAAATGAAAATGTATACAGCATCGACATGCATGTTCGTGCAGTATGCAATGACTGATACTTATTATGTTAAGGTTCGTCAAACTATCCTGCTATCCAGGACTAAGGAAGCAGAATGTTCTTAGAATCTGTTGGCCAGTGACTATAAGTCGAGTGCACAGACCTATGGTACCACAACTCTATTTATCAACGTACACAGGATATATAATACATTGTTGAAACAATCACAAATGTTTGTGTAAAACAGAAACAAATCACACAGCAGTTACACACAAAAAAGATAATGCTGACAAAAATTTATATTTTCTATAATAATAGTGGTTATAGAGAAATAAACGTAAGCAATTCTGTCTGTAAAAAATAAACAGCAATGAGGTGAGCCAATTTGTAAGAACGAAGAAAGGCACGACCATTTAAAAATGTTTTGGTCTGGTAAGTTGCGCGTACCACAACAGTTGTGCAGGCAAGTGAGCGCGCTTGTGCAGTCATAGTAAATTATAGTAGCATAGTGAAGTGCAATAGTCATCATCACCATATTATTATTCCTAGGACTGATTAATAGTTTTCAAAGTCACCTAGAAACAGGTATTTGTTGATTAAAAAATGATGATAACGAAATAGTTCATCTTATCTCCTTCCAAGAACAAAAAGACAGTACAGTTAGGGCATACATAATATTTTCTTCGATATAAAACATTGTATGCTGTAATGAAGAAATAGACAATGATATAATTAAAAAAAATCCTAATGTGCAAAAGATAGTGAACTAGTAAAGACAACCGGAATGGCTACTAAAAGTGTTCGCAATTTCACACAAGTATCACCATTATCACTGTCAATATTCATTATCATTAACAAGTGAACAATCGTAGAAAGCATTAGATAACTGTGCACAAAGTATAAAAACTTATAAGACAAACAACAATGAGAAAATAATCACAAAATATACGATATTTGATATGTTGCCAGTGAATTAATTGAGCTAACTACAACAAATCCGAATTGAACACATTGAATGCAAAAAAGGCAATTAGGAATGCGTAATATAGTACCGACCATCATTTCATCTGCCAATCGACAGTAGAATATAACTGGAGGATATATGATATGGATAGTGAGGAATGTAGCAGTAGTGGTAAGCCTGATCAAAACAACAGGTTTAAAGCGAGAACTGAACTGAAAAGCTTTCCTTTTTCAGCCTGTCTTCTCACATCCTTTATACTTGTTCATCCAGTGACATCAATAAAGGATTGACATATTCGAAACCATCAAATTCTGTTTGATCTATGCGTGATATCATGGCCCTATATTAGATATCAAGGGAAAAAAGTTGGTAAGATAAAAATCTTATGCAAACATTGATGTTATGTTTATGATTTTACAAAAAAGAATACAAAATCAATATAGCTTATTTAATATCCCCATGTACACATTATTTATTGTATGTTTTTATCAATTTTCTGACTACTGAATATATGTTAGTGATGTGAAGCAATACCAGAGTGTTAAAACGGAACGAAGAAAGGGAAAACAGTTATCTCAGACAGGTAAGACCAGTCGAAGAGAAGCAAGGACATAAATGAAATTGATTATATGATTTATTGAGACGTTATACTGAGTCTTGACAAAATATGAAGACCTTACATCGAGTATACTTCATGCAAATAGTCTCTGCATTATAAATTATGGATGAGTGGGTCTTCAAAACTTCTGCTGTTCGTTCACTCATTTGCCATCTGTAACTCTGAATTCCTTTTCCAGAACCTCTACCGCTTTGACGATAACTTTATTTAATTTCCCGATGGAGGGCATGCAATAAACTACTCACATATGTCCGTATTTGTAGCACATATAGCAGTAGTATTTTATTACTTTTAAAGGCATTCTACCTTAGGATTACTTCGTAGTATTGAAGTAAAGTTCGGCCCAAGAGATTCTGATTGACACCTCACAAACTTTCAAACGACTCTTTGCAGAGAAATGAAATTAATTATTGGGTATTATCCCATATTCTAGGTATAAAATCAGGTATCCCGCCTTTTTGAATTATGGTACGATGTGAGCATATAACATAGTTGTATATATGCATGACTCAGGTCACGAATGGCAAAAATAGCAGACAATAAACATTCCTCTTCTTATAAGCGGAAGGAAAGCCGCTAGTCAAACGGTTGCACATACGTCATCCTACGTACAGATCATTTGCTGACATATACATGTGGATAAAGCAAAGCCAGCTCAGGAGAATTAAGATGGTGGGGTCAGAATCAAATGACAATGACAGAAGGATATATATGACAATTATAAGTTCAAGTGTGCAATGTCGAATCAAATCAGTGTATTTGTCGATATAACACACAGCTTCTTGACTGAAGACAGCATGACCAGCGAGACAAATAGCTGTATATTCTACGTAATGGATGGTATAAATCTTAGTCGATAGAATTGGCGTACAAATCATAAATAAATACATCATATTTATATACATGATTTCCATCTTAACCTCCATATACTATTTCATTACTCGTTTTGCCCACTCCTCAATTACCTTCTTGCTTTGTGTGGAGATGTGAATCTCTAGTCTAAGGAGATGACGGGTTTGAACCCCTCTCCATTTACTCAGGTTTGAGCAGCTAAGAAGTGTCACCTAAAGACTTTACAAAACAGGTGTAACTTATGGTCTACTGCACGAACGTGAGCTAAGTTGCTGAGTATATCCCGATTCCTCTCCCTTCGTGACTTCGTAAAACTTGATTACAGTACTCTTGTTTCTCTATCTTCCATCTAGCTACCCAACATTTTATGGGCTGAAATGCAATGACTTGGACCATTATACAGTGACGGCGGGTTCCAAGCTGATACTATCTTAATATTTTATTAATATCTTGCTGTCTATCCTAGTAAAGTGCCGTCTTCAAATTTGGTAACTTTGTAGCACTACTCCATCGAGTAAATCAAAGCGAAAAACAAAAAGTTGTCTAACAGTGGCGTGTCGTTCCTTCTAATACAGTGACAACCCGATTTAAAACCATCACACGGACATAAGAAAAGCATGTGATCTTGAGTAATCGACCTTGGACATATACTCCGTATGTCAAGCCACCGCCTACCTCGAAGTGCAATGCTTGGGGAAGATGAATTACGTTGTAAGAGGGTTCCGGTTCGCCAGACTATGACCTATCATCAGTTAACGAAGTCCCTAACTGTTCGCTTGAGCTGTGTTGGGAGATGTGACCTAAGTAGTTGGGGTCCCCAAGACACAAGGAGTAAGTGGTTGAGGACTCTCGATGACATGGCTGGAAATCGGTCACGACGGCGCAGATTTATTCACTCCTTAGCATCTTAAAAAGCTTAAATATTTGCATTAACCATTGTCTTCAGATTGTTAATTCTTCCACACAACTTCGTCCACTTTGATATCACTCCTTTTCTATCCACCTGTCCTTTGTGTACTACTGTGAAGTGTGGAACTTGGGCTGATGCTTGTGTGTGCGAGGTTCTACGTTTATTTTGTCTGTCCGTCTGCATTTTTCCGGATTGGTTCAGTGCGACATATTACAATGGAAAATAGATGAAGTCAAAGGCAAGCAAGGATAAAGGAATGAAAAATATATCAAAGCTGGTGAGAAGTGAGGAGATAAAAAAGAAACAAGACCAGATGAAAATATTTACAAAATTAGGATCAACATAAGATGGAGATACACATTAGCCACTACATTCAGTTATGGGCTACAAAATCCGATTGATCTAGGTACCCGGATTTCAACCGATGGTTCATGGGTTCAAATCTTTTCATACCTACAAAGTTGTAGCTGACAGCTTACTATAAAAACGAGCAGGCATAGATAAAATCAACGTGGAACCCCACATAGAGATGTAGATAGAAAAGAAAAATAAGTTAAAAAAGAGCATGACAGAAGGAATGAGCAGATGAGAATAATGAAAATATCCAAAACCTCGAAGATAACAAAGAGTGGATATATCTGTGTGACCGTGACCAATTTCCAGCTATGTCACTAATCTACTTCTACTTCCTTTGACCCAGTTTTCTTTCTTCATCTTCCATTTTATTGCTTTGTTACTCGATGTGTTGATATGAGGTGTGGAAACTTGGACCGTTACGCAGTAATGCCTGGTGCTATGTTGATCTTGATGATGATATAATGATCTGGTCACTCTGAGTCTCCCATCTTTCAAGCCAATCCTACTTCGGTTGACACTGCGCGTAAATGAAGGTAGCGGCATGCGCAACACATATCCAGACAACCTCAATGGGTTAAAGTTCACAACCACACCGACTAACTTGTCTGCTTCGACGCTGCTGATTGAATATTAACACCAGGAAGAGTAGGTAACGGAGGCGACAGATACAAGGAAGGTCGGTGTACTTTTTGCTGAGTTGTATTTATTCCTACTTTATTCTTTAGACGTCATCTCTAGGTATGCCATGAACGTTAATCAGGAAGTTTGCATATTTTGAGCGAATCAGTTCAACAGTCACACATAGAATAAACGCATATTTTCAGTCTATATCGTCTCAGCTTATATATATATATATATATATATATATATATATATATATATATATATATATATATATATATATATATATAAAACCTTACGAACTGACTTATCTACTTCACTTGATACTACACAGTTGGTCAACTGCTAACATAGTGATGGCATTACATGTGAGCTACACAGTGTTGACAATGGATAAACGCTTGTAGCCTTCTGAAACCACCCATCACTGTATGTATTTCACAGTCATCAAGGGCATTGCTACGAACATACAAACTGTTGTACAGTACACTCAGGCCTTCATGGACAAAAATATATTATGCTGCTGACACAAGTGTTGAAATTTACAGAAACGCAGGTTAGGATTTGGTCAGTTATCAACCCACAAAGGCTAATGCTAATTACCAATTGCGTGAAGTAGTCAATACACCGAAACACTCGGAACTCCATCAACTGATGGTGCATAACTGTAGACCAGTAATGAGGTAATAATTTACATTCCGGTTAGAAACACCTTGAACATTCACACTTTGGAACTCAAAGCGTTTGACACCAGTTACACGAGTGCTTTATTTATTTTGCACTCCATCTTTAAGATCTACTTGAATTTATACAAATATTCAACAATGAGTTCGACAATATTCATTCAAAACAAAGCAGTCATTACTTTTCAGCAGCAGAAAACAGAACGAAGCTACACCATGGCCACCACCGGTTTCCATTCTGAGCCATATCTGATAACATCTCAAGTCACTGAGTTGTGTGATCTCTCAGACCCCAGACAAGGAGTCATGATGCACTGACAGGTGCTAAACCCGATGTAACTATCCTTCATCCCACGGCAGCACGTCATACACTAACCACTCCTCTGATTTTTCCATCCAATCCCAGGGCTAACAAACAGTGAACGGTGTGGGAGCCGTTGGGATGACATGTCCTAGCCACCGAAGTCGGTGTTTCCAGATGACTTCACTTATCGAATGATGATCTCCATCATATCCAAATACACGCTGTAGTACCTCAGAATTACTTACATGTTGTTACCAGTGGATACAAGTGATTCTATGGAGACATCGATGATCGAATACACAGAGTCGTCGCACATCCTAAACTCGAAGAGGCCAGGTTTCACAGGTGTAGAGCAGGACTGCTCGCACCAGTGTTGTAAACCCGACCTTTTAAGGTCAGACTAACCTACAGACTGCACGAAAAGGAGATCAAATTGACGTATACCACTCTGGATTTTGATATGCGGTTGGATATTTCATCACTCACATCTCGACCAGCACTCATACAACTATCCAGATACATGAACTTTTCGACTACTTTCATAGGTTCACCGCCGAGAGTGAGCGGAGGAACAGGCTCCTGCTAATCTTGCAAAAGTAATTTGGACTTTGATAGTGCAAAGCACATAACATACTTACGGAGACCGAGTATGAAAGCTTAAGATAAAATATTCTCTAACCCATATTTTAGTACCACTTTTAATATCGTCATTAAGTACAACTTGGTGCTCAACTTAATATCGAAGCTTTCGATGAATCCTAAGAAATAATTCAGTCTAAACTAGCTACACTTGTGCCTTTTGTCATCTCTTGTGATTATATACATAAAGTTTGATATTATATACTTAAATAAGGTTTTAATTCAATAGCTTACACGTTTAAACGGTTACGAGTTCAAGTTTCATTCCATCAATCAAGATTTCTACGTAATAACTACAACTAGATGTGTATAGCTACCAGATTTCCGAATCTACACATTCGCCAGTATTATTAATTTAAATCAGTATAACATAATACACAGTTAAAATCGGAATTATATATTTTAAAAAAAAATCTAAAGTTTGCACTGTGTAGAATAAATATTATTTTACACAGAAATGCGGGAAAAAAACAATTAGGACAACATAAAAACTGACAAACAAGCACTTGAAATGCTAATGAAGAAGTAAACTCCAATGAACATTTCTCCATTTTTTCCCTCACAGATAATAAATGTACTTTGTTCAGTAAAACCAATGTAATTCTATATTCATTCACGACTTCTCTCACTCTGTGTGTGAACGCTAATCTACCAAATTTGACTGGTAAATTTTTAGATCCAATTAGAAAATTAGTGTTAAAAAAAATTACGATAGACTAGCAATAAATCAAAGTCTATCGTAGGAAAATGTAACCTTTTTAATGTGATATCTTGTTACCGATAATTCCTCAGGTGAGACTATAGAATTTTGCCATCCTGAGGTGACCAATGACATGGAGGGTGACTTGTACATTCGTTATGGAAAGCTTTGAATTATTTAAGGACGTCGTTGATTATAAACAGGCGGCTTATGCAGACTCTTGATGATGATAATTTTGATAAATCGAAGAGAATTACTTCTCGTATGATTTTTCTACACTACCTGTCAATTCTGAAGGGTTTTTCAAGTGCGTGCATTTCCCGAATAAGGAAAAATTTGTGAACAAGAAGTTCACGTCACAATTCACAAAATTAGCTGTGTACATACCATATTCAAAGCAACAGGAACACTGCAGCACAAACACTTTAATGAGAAATTAGGAAAATTACTTGATGAATGTGTTAAGAAAGTGGTTATCCGCAGAATTTCCTTAAAGGTATCTATTCAATTCATCGTCAGCTACAAAGTCATCCACAGAAATCAGTAAATAGATAATTCCAACATAACTTATCAAAATTACGTCAAAACTACTGAGGTCCTTTTGAATTGATATAGCTCATAAACAAATAATTCTCTTCGGACCATAATCGTGCAGAACAAAGGACGCAATAGTCAAGAGGTTCAACCAAAGATCATTTACAAAACTGCTATAAACACAACATTTGAGAAAATAGGCATTCTCCTCATCTTCGTCGACATGAATATTAGCTGGGGATTAAACAGCATAACGCTTCATCCATTAATTCAATGCATATGAGTAACTGGGGGCATGAATTCGAAATGTAGAGAGTGTGGATAGAAGAATCACAAGAATACAAGAGAATCCTTAAAAGCCTGGCATTCAGCTCAATTAGTAAGAGCATAAATACCAAAACTAATCTATCGACCAAAGAGGAAAATGATAAACAACTACAGGGCCAGAGGTCATGCAGAAAAACGGTCAATAGCGATATCTGAGTAGTTAGTGATTCAGCAATTAGAATAAGCCAACAAACACCACTTCATCCGGAAAAGATAGCGAACTACTCATAGGGAAATTTCGAGAGCTCTAGGAACACAATGGTTTCGGGATAAATCCTTCAGCTCAGCATCATCATATATCTAATCAACCGTTAGATGTAGGAATTAGCTGATAAGAAACTCTATTCTACTTAGATCTTAGACCTGAGGACATTTGTCGATGAAGTGTAACTAGAATTCTGAGTAAATTTAAGTTTCTTGAGAGATTCAAATCTGAGTCTTTCCATGATTAGGTAAGACCCTTCATCAATCAGCTAATCAACCCATCACTGGTTGTCTGTAGGACTGGATCTAGAATTTGAAATCCTCATCGGATGGTAGCCGAGACTACTATCTAGTCTGGCATGCTGATAAATTTCGCAATGCCGTAAGTGAATTGACGTAATAAGATTACTGTAATGTATTGTTTGATGCAGTATAGGTACCAACTAAAGGGAAAAACCTAGATGTAAAGTTTTTTACTAATTGACTGAGTCAAAAGCTAATTATTTATCGATTCATTCTTGAGGTTATTGACAAAATTTTGTTACTGAACTTTGTTCTACTTGACGAGAAGTTTTGAAAATATCCACATACTGACCTAGAAAATTTTGTTTGAATGGGGGTATCACCATTCTATTCACGATGAAAAGTGTTAAGATAAACAAGTCTAGTCTAGTCAACAGTAAATCCGAAGACGATACGGCAGGGAGTGGAACTTCGTTTAGTGAATACATACAGCACACACAATACTGCATAGTTTACCCATATGGTAAAGCCAATTAGATACAACCCATTATTTCTGATAATCACACACCAAGGTTACCTGGATAAATGGTAATTATAAGGTTATGAAACTGAAGCCCTTGGTACCAATTTATTACTGTAACAGTAGAACAATGTGATCAGTTTATGCGCATATATATATATATATATATATATGCGTGTGAGCAAAAGAATTTCATTTGGTGGTTTATGCAGACTAAGTGGTTGATTACAAGAAAGTATTCATCACAGACTGACACTAGATGAAGAATCATTGAGAAAATGAGATTCTGGATAACTATTTCGTACTAGTATGGGACTTCTCAGGAGTGCATACCACTGACTCTGCAAGGCATCCAGTCAAGGACTATTATTACATTTCCTAAACAAGCGGCCATTCAACGATCGGGTTCGAATGCAACTGTCCATATCCTATTACTTCTGAGAACTAACTATCCAGGATAACCATCATACAATGCCATCGAGGAGTATCTTTCTTTACATTTGGTTCAAGTGACCCCGCAAGTCACTGTTTTTCATTCGAACCTCCAGAAATCTGTCTCGAAGCAGGTTACGTCTAAGCATTTCGCAACAGACACAACGCTTGCTACCAATTATTAGTATGTCAGTACGTCAATCGCTGAAAAAACACACGAAACAAAGAAAAATATGAAAACTATGCATAGCAGCTACAAACAAACGGAAGACTAACTCGTTATCTGGTGTAAGTACAACCGGTTCATCAGTGAATGCTGGATCAAAATGTATCAGATCTCTATCACCTCCACAAGTTGGACGATATGGTGGTGGAACTTGCTTTTGTTCTAATGCGATCCAATCTATCGGGGCAAAGAATGCATGATTCATAATATCAGCAAAACTTGAGTCTGGTGCACAACCAAGACGTTCAGTCGGTACCTGGAATAAAAGAAATAGATATTCAATAAATAAAAATTTGTAATCATTTAGTAAATACTATAAAGAATTTGGAGAGGTTATCAACAGCGACTAAAACCAGCTGAAGAACCATGAAATAAACGAAAAGGCATTGGGGATCTACTTTTTCTTTCTATTACGAAGCCTCATGGTAGCAGATTCCCATGATCCCACACAGAATTCTCCTTAAAATATTCAATTCACATGATGCGTACACTAACATTCTCAGTCCCTGGATTACACAATTCAATGTTTCGTATTCAACAACTTTAGTCAATTTGCAATATAAAACAACTATAACAGAAAAAATAAGAGCGATTAAAGCAGATAACAAACCTTTTTGAGAAATCCACTCAGTATATTAGTGGCACGAACAGAGATTGAACGCGGGAATCGAATTGGACGTGTTAGGATAACTTTTTGCATGGAATGATGAAAGAAAAAAAGCAAGTACAACTGCTAAGCGTCAGATTTTATTCATACTAAAGTGTTACATTTTGATAAATCATTTACCACACACAAACTCTAACAAATATTTATTAAAATAAAAATCAAACCAGATTGTACTGAAATAGGCAATATGGTCGACAGGTGACGGGAATCACCATCGCAATGAATCCTAATTGGTGTAAAATAAATGAGCAAATATCTTCTTCGGCTTAGATTCGTCGCAGTTATAAACTGGTCAGCAAAACGCATCTTTAACCTTAAGAGAAGTGATGCTTTCTCAGATATGCAGTCATACACGTTCCTCCAGTGAACTGAAATGATGAGTTCTCTAGCTTCTAAGCTGCATCAAAAATTCAGTCTCTAGAATTTAATTGGCAGTAAAGATAGTATTTCACTTATTCAGATTAATTTCTTTATGCATCGTAAAGGTCAATCCCACCGAAAAGATATCAATAGTAACGTCTCTTAATGCAGTGACGGAAGACATGGATTCAAACATTTGAGAGACCATCAGTTCCCCTGAGGTGATTTGTACGCTTTTTCTACTGCTGCCAACAGATCAAGGACGTAATCTAGTCGACTGTTTACAACAAAGTAACATAAAGGTCTACAGATGACGTTCAAAAACATAAACATAAGTTGAGTAAAATAATTTCATTGTTAATCCATCTAAAAAACAACACAACAAACAGTATTCATTTCCTTAAAATGATCTGTAATCGAAATATCCACATACCGTAATCCAAGATGGTTTAGTTCAGTGTTCGACGATATCCGTTAAGAAGTCCTTACACAAACAACTGTCTTTGCCAACTGAATATGTGACTACACATACACACACACACTCACAGATGAGTAAGAAAAAAAACTGAAGTGGATGTAGTTTATTGGCTATAGTAATTTCCCATCGCTAATACTGGGTCGAATCACTCGACTCCCTGTAGGCAGATGGACTTCTATCTGGATGGCTGTATACTGCCTGAAGAGTCATTAAGTTGTGGTTTACTTGGTGGCTAGCAGTGGAATCCATGATGCATGTTTCGTCTTACTTGGGATGCCGGAAAGAAGGCTACGGTTACTGAGATCACTAGAGAAAACGATGGCTCTCTCATGACAGGCTCCTACACTGTTGGCAACGCTTCAGTTTCCCGGCATCCAGCCCCAGCTTACATGGCACAACCCCATTGGCAATTGAGAAGGCAGATCAAAATACGAAAAAGTGCAAAGCAGCGACAGCTCACTCCTCGCCACCGGACGTCTTCATGCAGGAAGGCAGTGAATCAACTACTACTGAGTAGACCAGTATATCAGAATCACAGATGTGTATTTCCATCTGAATGGTCTACATTACTGGTCATTCCAGTTCACTAGGAAGGAAACAAGTCTTCTTGTCACAAGCATATGGGAATCAGTTTGACTAAAATCGGGTCCAAAATCTTGGGGCCCATAGATGTCCAACATCTGACTTGGACTCAAGAACAACAAACTTGAGATCAGGTGTGCCTCGGATCTGGTTGCAACGATCACATCTTCACCCTTTCACAGGTGTACGCTCACCGCCAACCGACACCTTATTTCAAGGTTTGGTCTGACAGCATATATACTACAGAACCATAGTAGCTGGAAACCTACTTACAGTGACTTGTAGATTTTTCTGGCTAGATCAGAGTGACGTAAAAATTGGACGGTCGTTTAGCTTGTTTGGGATCGAGCTCATCAGGGATGAAAACGGACGAATCCAGTTCATAGGAACCAAATTATTCAGATCACATGAATCTGACCAGCTGATATGCTGGACCAGTATACTTTAGGTACGATGATCAATTTGAAAATTACACGGTACAAGTTAACATTTCTCACAACTTAGTACTTTTTCAATTGTTCAACTGTGCAGTTAACATAGAAACAACTCCGCCAAAATCACAATTTGTGATCTTTGATACAAAAGTATCATGAACTAACGAAATATGTGAACAGCATAAGTAGTACGAGACTACTCATGTGGATATGAAGATTCGACTGGCCGGATACTAGTACACAACAGAGGAAACAATAATGAAATCGAAATAAAGGTGAAATATCGACTACAAACAAACAAGTAAACAAAGGAATATATATGTAGGTATTTAGCAACAACAAATGGAATCAACTAACTTTGAAATAGATAATCTTCAGTGTTTTGATCGGGATTAGCTGATTGTCCAACACCTTCCCAGGGAGAACGACCAGCAAGCATTTCAAACATTAGTACACCCAAAGCCCACCAATCAACACTGAAACCTAATTGTGTGTGACGAAAAAACTTCTTTTTACTACTGATGCAAGATGGAAGTAGTCAAAGTGAAATATAGAAAAAGAAATGATATAGGTAGCATAGGATCGCTATTGAGAATAAAAGCACGGTTCAAAATGGTTTTTGACAACCTGAATTTCACTTCAGAGTGGGAATTAGAATCAGATACTCCCTTTCATGACGTTTTCCTTACATGATGTAGTAATGGACTATGAGAAGATTCATTTACAGGAAACTCAAATGGGATAGACTTGTCAGTTTCTACAGTTGGGTACCGATCACAATGAAAAGAAACCTAATTATCTCACTCTCCTACTGAATACGAAATATTTGTAGCTCACATTGTGCCAATGTTGGACTCGATTTCGTAAGAAGTGCTAGTGCTTCAAAAGGCTACTATAGCTGATATGTTGGTATAAATGCGTGATAGACATGAGAAACCAGTAATCAATTCGGTTACTAAGATACCTTGTCGGCGAATTTGGAAATTAAAGATTAAACAGTATTAGACATTCTTGAGATCAGTCGGAATCATTCAGGAGAACATTATTCGTAGCCGTAACTTCTTCTCGTTACATGTATAAAGCATAGTAGCGCCTGACTGGTCAGGCCCATGCGCATCTTTCAGTTCACATACTTCCATGCAGCAAGGTATACTGGCCGTAACCAGAAAATGTTGTCAACAAGTAAACCAATATACAATGAAAACTGGTAGTCTAAGGGTGAAAGGATATGCACTGGAAGTTCTACGATTGAACACTTGACTGGTTTCAACCATTCGGATGACAATTATTTTAAGGCTATATATTGAATTCACTTAAATATTCCACGTTTTCTTCGTTTCTAATGTTTAGGCACCGCAGATACCTCTGCTATGCGATAAGCTGAAACATAACATTCATGTCTCTGTATTTCCTTTGACCAACAATCAGAGACCTCATCGACTGGTGCCACGTCTTAGTCTGGCCGCTCTGAACACTTCCAACTTCATTTAACTTCCCCTAGCATGGCACATCGAGGGAGGCGGTGCCTTGACATGTGTAATAAATGTCCAAACCCACTCAGCCGATGAACGCTCATGACCTCATCAATCGAATTGCCTGTCTTGCTCAATATCCTTTCCCTGACCTCAACATTTCTCACACAGAGATTCCACCAAACGTGAAAAGTGCTAAGAATACATCTATGATCAAAACCCTTTAATCGCTTCAGTTCTTCCACTTTTAACGGGCATATCTCACAGTCGTACAACAGAATAGAACGCACTGCAGCGGGATATACTCGTCCTTTGATATGTAGTAGGATATCTCGCCAGTTGGCGCCACAGATGACGCAAGCTGGCAAGTGCTAAACGGGCCTTCTGTGTCAGAGCTGAGATTTTGTCAGCAACCCTCCCCAAGTAAGTGAAGTAGTCGAAATATCATCAATCACGAAATATATTCAGAAACTCAATTCACTACGTGACCAGTTAACAAATAAGGTATCGACGTCCTGGAACTGCGAGCAGTACATAATTAGTATATATATATATATATATATATATATATATATATATATATATATATATATATATATATATATATATATATATATATATATAGGTTTGAGTAGATATAGCAGTAGATGTAATAATCGAGACTCACTATAGCTTTCGCCTTTCAATATTTCGGGAGCTATGTAATTTGGTGTACCACAAAATGTAGTTGTAGTCATATCTCCCACAATGCCTTCCTGTAGGAAAATAATAATAATTAATGAAGCAAGCGAAACTACTACGAGACGGATATCATGAGCGTTATGTTTCCTTAATATAAGAGCAAAATGTGAGGTAGTGTTTATGTCTGTAAACAAGAAATTACTCTCGAAACGTCATTCAGTAAATAATATACTGTTTCACTGTGTGAATTATTCAATAAGCATTTAAAATGACATGAAGGTATTTTTTTATCAGTTGCATTTTTTGATTGTCACTGTTTTACTATAGGAACTTCATCGGTCAATCAAACAACTGCTAAGTGAACCAAACTGGTATTATAATTTTGACTGAATAATTTTTAATTATCTCTCACAGTATTTAAGCATACGTCTATTTGAATGCAGCCAATATATATTCATTTATTCACCAGAGGTAATTAAATCTTTCAATTATTCTTATCTATCAAGTGGAGACTTAACCGTTTCACAATTCTCAGGTTGTCAAACTCCATGTTTTGCAACAGTATATGAATGGAAAGTCAGCTGAAGCGAATAGTTGATAAAATAGAATATACAGGTTTAGGAAGCATGGGGTGTAGATTATTGTAGTGGGCGTCGCTGATCACAATGGATATAAGTAGTATATGTTGAGAGGGCGGCAGAAACCATAGGGAATTACCAGGAATGGGTAAAGATTCTGCCCATAGAAACACAAGAGACAACGTGGGCGTATTAAGAGCAAATCAAGATAGAAGCAGAGGAGGAAATGAAGCAAATTATCCAAATAACTGTCATAGTGAAAGGCGTACAGTATTTGATGACTACTGTACAAGATGTCAGTGATAAACATTCCTTCTTTCGTCACTGTTCTCTCGTTTCCTTCAGTATGATTAAGTAACGACACAGGTCGCCACACTTCTTACCAGCAGCTCGAGGTAAGACACGGTAAAAAGAAAGCGAACGAAATTTAAAAGTACATAAACATTCTCAGAGAAGTACATAAAATATTTCCGAATATTTCAACATACACTTGAAAGAATAACCCCAACATCAGTCAAAGAACCGCTAGAAGCGGAGGGAAAAAGGGTCACTGTTTCGTCCTGAACAGTGCATACTCACGATCGATTATAGGACTAAACCCAGGACTGTCAGGTTTCGGGAAAATCACATTACCACTTAGATGGTTTGAAACAAGTTTAAAGTAACAGAATGTTCAAAGTTTTGTGAAACATCAATAGGGCACGCACTTGAGCCATCATGACCGACTTTGAGTGACATAAATGCGAATAGTTTTTCGAAAGTCTAAAACAATCCAGTGAAATAACACCGTAATAAGAATGCACTCAGCAACTTTGCGCACATTTGTGCAACAAGTAACGAGGCACACCCATTGTATAAGGGGTTAATGATACTAATACTTGGCTTTCCAAACCTCGCAAAGTGGAGTGGGGTTCGAACCTATGACCCACTAGTTGAAAGTCCTCTTGCTAAACCAATGAGCCACAGCTTCAAAATAACACCGAAACGGATTCCAAGTAAGGGTAATAAGAACTTCAACTTTGTCAAACTCTATGTTTCTGATTATTCTTACTACAATATGCGTTATTATGTCATTCCCTGTCGTCTGTTTTCATTCGACTCTTGAGGATTAAAGTGATGACGACCTATGGGTTAATAATTGACTGTTATTTGTTGTCAATGATATTTATGAAAAGGCAAATTCTCTTTAGTGAACTGCTTTTCTGTTGCAATAGGAAGATAATTTTCACCGATATACTTACTTTGCACATTCCATAATCTGTTAGTTTAATATGACCTTCACTATCCATAAGGACGTTGTCCAACTTGAGATCACGATAAATAATACCACGTTCATGTAGGAAATTTAAAGCAATACAAATTTCTGCAGCATAAAAACGTGCATAGTCTTCAGCTAAGCGTAGATTTCGTTGCATATAAAACATCAAGTCCCCACCATTAACAAATTCAATGACAAAAAATAATCTACATTGTTTCAATGTGTACAATAAAATAAACAAATGAAAACATTTAGAAAAAATTACGACAATAATCAATTGAACAAACAAAAATACGAATATTATTAATGGCAATCCTACTGAAAGTAGAAACAAACTTGAGTTTTGATTATTTTGATAACTTTTTTTCTCATGAATGTGAAACAGAACTGGTATTTAGCTATTCAAACGCTAATGGTTTCATGGAAGTTATGGTGAACCGGGATTCACACTATCCAAGCATATATATGATAACTGGACATGAGTTCTTCTGGATGGATATTTCTGCGCTGTCAAATTGTTGAACAAAGATTACATCCATATATTGTGTATTGTGTGTGTGAATCACAGAGAGATTTGTAGGTGCACATGGGTTGAACCTATCACGCAACAAATATGCAGGAGGAAGTGGAGATGGATTGGGCATGCACTGAGAAGGCTGACTGGGGACATCACGCGTCAGGCCAGTCACTCGAGTGGAATCCCCAGGGGAAGCGACGAGTTGGACGTCCGAGGGTGACATGGAGGAGGTCGTGCGAGGAAAAAATGAGAGCTTCTGGGCTGTCGTGGAACCAGGTTCAAAAGATCTCAGAGAACAGAGGTCACTGGAGACGTGCTACTGAAGCCCTATGTTCCACTAGGAACCCAAGGGACTAATAATAATAATAATAATAATAATAATAATAATAATAATAATAATAATAATAATAATAATAATGGGTTGATAGTTCTTATCCCATGTATGTTATATCGCTATGTAGGCGTAGGTTGAAACCAAATCAAGCTATATTTTGCTTCCGCAATCCTGCTTAGGCAATTTTCAGTCCATTTTGTGGGAAAAAATTCTGCTATGAGACGTTCCTTTTGTTTAGAGGCCAGACATTTCACATGTAAGGGCAAAATTATACGGATAAACTATTGACATATCTATACATTCATCTGTTTCATCTATAGTAGCAAATATATTTGTGAGTAAATTTGAAGAAAGCGTCTTCGCACAACTGCGAAAGCCAAACGTTTGATTCAGATATATAGATGATATGTTCATGATGTTAAAACGTGACATGAACCAGGTATTCATAGATCAGTTGAACACTGAATCCTACAGTACTAAGTTCTTGAATGCGCTTTAACGGTAGCATATAAACACCGAACGGCGGATCTGGCATTACTGTGTGACAGTTCACGTCGTCATAACTTACAACAACAACACATGAAGAAGGTAGGCACGAAGACGAAATATAGAGAAATAGGAAAGAAAGTATTCAAAAGTCGTACACAGATGTGAAAAGACAACAGGAAGGAATAAATCAGTGATAGGATTCGGTATGACGATGATGATAAAGATAATGTTTAGATACATTTACGCCACTAACATCAATTCTGGGCGATATCGCCGAAGGCCTAAAGCCACCAGACAGACAACATATGACCTGATTCTAACGCATAATGCTCCAAGTGGCCACACCTTATCTAAGTACACCAAGTGAGAATGTGCTAAGACGACAGGTAAAGGAAGAATAAAGCGGTCGAAAGTGGTAAAACGTCATCAAGGAAGAATAAGACAGTGGTGAAATTCAACATGATCATCAATTCTTGCTGTCGAGTGGAACCCGATCGGAAAGTTCACATTTACTTATACGACTCAGAGCAACATATACTGACTCTATGGAGTGACGCAATGTTTCAGTCCCATCACCTTTACCCTTTCTTCAGACTAAACCTATTTAACAAATACTGCGAAGTCAGACAATTGATGAAAGTCAGTAAAACGTTTACGGTTGGTATGAGGAAGTTGGAAAAAAAAGAAACAATGGGCTGACCACTTCGAAAAACTCTTGAATCGACCATCACCTCCAACTCGTCCAGAAATACCATCAGCAGCCCAGCCACAGAATTACCGGGAACACAAGCCCTCCGAAGAAAACAGAAGTCCTGAACGCCATAAACCTGCTGAAATTCAGGAAAGTAGCAGGACTAGATGGAATTCCTCCAGAAGTACTGGAAACAGACACAGAGACGACAGCGGACCCGCTCATACCACTATTGCAGAGGGTATGCAAAGAAGGAAAGGTACCTGCAGATTGATTGGAAGAAGATCTACCTTGTCAAACTTCCAAAGAAGGGAGACCTAAGTCTTTGCAGGAACTGGCCCAGAATCATGCTAATGTCCCGGTCCACACCATGCAAAATATTATGCCGCATCATATTGGAAAGACTGAAGGATGTGCTGGATTCAAAATTACCACCGGAACAGGCAAGTTGGCTGGCTGGCTTCAGGAAGAACAAATCATGTGTGGATAAAATTGCAACGCTACGCTACACATTATCATAGAACACAGCACAGAAAGGCAGTCAACTTAACTCTACCTCAACTTCATCGATTTTGAAAAGGCCTTCGACAGCGTCGACCGAAAAGTAATTTGAAAACTACTTCAACACTACGGTTTTAGCGCCACAAACCTTTATCAACCTCATTCAACAGCTATATGAAGACGCCGCATGCCAAGTGATTCAAAATGGAAAGCTCAGTGACGCCTTTGAAGTGAAGAAAGGAGTAAGATAAGGCTACCGCCTACTATCACCCATGATCCCGATTTTGGTCTACTGGATCATGCAGCAAACCGTGAGGAGCTGTGAGAAGATGGGCACACGCTGGCTGGACCGATGAAAAGACCCCAGAAGAAGATTTGGATTTTGCCGATGGTGATTTAGGTCTAATGCCTTGTCGCAAAAACTCAATCACCATGAACGGGAGAAACCTAAAGGAAGTTGTCTCTTTCACCTACCTCGGCAGCATCGTCCCGACTACAGAGGGGGACAGATGAGGATGTCAAAGCCAGCCAGGATCGAAAAGACACCAAGACAGACCTTCATTAATCTAAAACCAGTGTGGAGATCTACTGTACTGTACTCAGCATAAAGCCTGAACAAGATCTGGATTTTCAACACCAATGTCAAGTCAGTGCTCCTATGTGATAGTTGAGAGACTTGGCGCGTCACAAAAAGCATTTCCAACAAACTATAGACATTCATCAACAGCTGCCGCCTACGCTCACTTGATACTGAAGATGGAGATCAGACAGCCAGAAAGAATAAGCAACAAGGTACTCTCGCTGGCAACGAACCAACCAACAACCCATCACCCAACAAATATGTAGAAGAAAGTGGAGATGGATTCGATTGGACATACACTGAGAAGGTCGACTGGGGACATCACGCGCCAGGCCAGGCCCTCGAGTGGAGCCCAGATGGGAAACGAGGAGTTAGGCGTCCCAGGGTGGTATAGGGGAGATCATGTGAGGAAGAAATGAAAGCTTTTGGGTTGAAAAGACTTCAGAAAACAGAGTGGAATGGAGACGTGCTACTGAAGCCATAAGTTCCACAAGGAACCCAAGGGAAAATAATAATGATAATAATCACGGGGTTGAAGTTGATAACACACAAATATTGGTGCAAAGAAAATGATTGTCTGCGGCAACCGAGAGATGTTATCTAAATCATCAGATGAATTTGTTAATATAAATGTGACAGCCTACAATTTCTTCGAAAGCAAAATGAAACTGTTTGGCATCTACATATTTGATTATTCGTCAGCATGTTTCATTTTACAGACGAAACGATCCTTGAAAAAGAAGCCTTATTTATTCGAACACATTGAAAGTGTGAAAGTTGTTGAAGTTTGGCGTAGAGAAGTAGATTTTTTAAAAAGTAGGTAGGTAAGCGAATGAAGTCATGAACGATCATCGATTGAGACGACTGAGACATGTTTCACGCGTGTCGACTCACTATTTCCTACCTCAATGAACGATGGTGTTAGCTGGAGGAGGATTCATTACGACGTTAAGAGAGGTTGGTAGAACCAAACGAAACACGGAGTTAATTCTACGGAGTTACTGACTGCTGGTCAAAAACATCCTGTGGTCGATTGTTGAAGGCGGTAAGCGATATAACTCTAAACTAATCTAAAAATTATTACCAGTACAACCGTATTCAGAAAAGCCCCCTATGAAGGTATTTAGATCAAGTTCAATCGTAATAACTCAAGAAATTCATTTCATTCCTAAAAAGATATGGCAGTGACTAACATTTTGAAAACGACAAACATAATATATGTAAATTCCGTTGAACAGCACCCTCAAAGCTTACGCACTAGACTATCAACTGTATCCCAAAGTAGGTTAGATGATGAAAGCTGATGTCAGTTTTTTGACACAGAATATCTCTTTCAGCAACCACGTGCATGTCCATACACTAGACAGTAAGCCACAAACATAGTGTGAGGAGTCATGACATTGTCTGATTACCGAAACCTCCCACCTAATGATTGGAAGTCAAATGTTTAGACGAATGAACCATAGCTCCACCAACAGAGAAACAGGTAGAATGAAGTTGAACAAGTAGTCTACATGATTAGGACATCCTGTGCTCACATTCATCTCTTTCCTCACAAATATTTGTAGCTGGGTTACCTTTAATACTTAACTGTTTCCAAGTTAATGTGTATCACAGAATTTATGCATATGATTACTTATAGAAGGAAATTGGTTTCTTGCAAAGGGCGATATCTGATTAAAAATTGTGTATAAAATGCATAAATTAGTACGTACATCTGGATACAATATAACAGAAACTTACCGACTCCTAGTTTGAAAACATGAGTGCAATCCCACAAGGAATGGATGGTTGGTAGCGCATTCGAATACGTGTTTTTCCGTTTGTACCCAATCAATATCCTAGTGTTTTAATATACACACAAATAAAAGGAATCTGTTTAGGTAAGTCAAAAACTTAACCTGTAGGTAATACAAAAGGATGGTTTATCAGTAAATTGCAATGAGCGCTGACTGATAAAATGTCAAAACCTAACAATCAGTTCATGAAACAGTTATCTGCATTTTGCATTTCAGATCAATGGCTTTTTCAGTTTCTATTACTTCTTTGCTTATTTTCTGCATTTACTTCCTATTTTTCTCATTTTTTCCCCTAAAACTTCTACCAAACGAATTTCAATTCTGGTTACTCTTTTCAGCGACATGATACTATATACTACGTATATGTATCCTTATAAGTAGCACACTTTAGGAATAGTGATTACTTAACAACAACTACCATTAAATAATGCCTCTTTAGATCGAATCTCCAGGCAGGAGAAAAACGCAGACTAAAAGAAACTAGTAGCTTATTTCCATGCAGTTTAGGAAAAGTACCTAGTTTCTAGATGTGTACTTTCTTCGACATGGTATAACCGATTTTCTGGACTTGAATGACATTTTATTTGCATGTCTGAGCACAGTTGATTCCCTAATAGCAAGTTAACAACAGCTTTAGTCACCAACCACCTGGAGGGTGAACGAAAATCGAAAGTGAAAATATGAACCATTGAATTCTAATTTAGCAACTAATATGCTCTAAATGAAATCTGAAGCTTCTAAGATGAACTCCGCTGTGGGAAGGTTGAGTTTTGCCTCGCTGATGACTTCAAAACTACAATGATACGGTTGACTAACGCTGTGTTTTTTCATGGTTTCCCAATTGATAACAGACGGTAGTTTCTTATAATTCAGGTAATCGAATAGGATAGTTTTCTAAATGACAGACTATGATGAAAAATGCCAACGAAACACAACTATGCTTCATCGCACGACACCAGAGTGCATACTGATCAGCTTTCTACTCCTTCCAACCAGTCCCGGGGTTAGCAAAGCAATGAACGGTATGAAAGCTTTTGGGACGATATGAACAACGCATGAGCAAACGACAGAAGTCGATGTCTCTAGATAACTCCAACGAATAATGATCTCCGTCACACTTGAATACGCACTGCCTTACCTCAGAACTACTTACATGATGTTTCCACCGGATACCAGCACTCCTAGGACAGTGGCAATCAGACAAGTAGAGTTGTCGGAAGTCCTTAGCTCGGAAACGCCAGGTTTACCAGACGCAGAGAAGAACTGTCAACACCGGTGAGTTGCACCTGTAACAGAAAGGCTAACGTCACGACAGCACCAAAGATTGGTGCGCGCCACTTTGTCTTCTATATATGGTCAAAAATCTCAGAAGTCAGAACCACGGCAGCAACAATAAGGCATCCTTCCGGAGTGATGGAGCACTTTCAGTCTACCATATCTTTTCAAACGAATTAGTACGTTTCTTAACTATAGTCTTACCTCCATTCTTCAAAACAGCTAGGAGTAAGTTGTCTGGGCCGAGTGCCTTGTGCAACTTTAGCACTTAAAATTCTTTTTGAACCTACGCTCCGTTGGATGTCTGTTTTAACTGACTACGGAGCATAAACATCAAAATCGATGTTGCCAGAACAGTAGGTCAGTTGAATTGGCTTTCGAAGTGATCTTCCCAGTTTCAGGCGTTCAGGAATTCTTTTGATCGATGCATCATCCACTTCACAGATTATCTTAATGAACCCAACTTGCTGATGCACGTGGCTTGGATGGGCTGGAACAACTTCTGACTATTGCCCGATGCAGCTGTTCTTTTCATCCCAAAAGCGCGTTCAGATGACAAGAGCTCACAGTCGTTACCTAAGTGCAGTGAATTTGTAGTGTGACTTATACAATTGTATTCACTGTCTATTACAATTAGTGTTTTTGAAAAATAATTTCAGAATGCTGTATTTTCAAGAGGAATTAGCGCTTCCGATAATCCCCAAAATGACAATAATATAAAATGAAATCGAACATTTTCTTGTTGATGCATACATCGATAAGTATTTTTGTGAAGTATGATTTTGTTGGTGTGCCAAAACACAATTAAATATGGTTCATCGGGCTAGACACTTGAGTTCCAAGCAAGAGGTGTGTTAAAATCCTGCTTACGCACTTAATTCAACTTTAGCATTTAGATAGTGTTGTAAACCTTAAACACTAAATGTGACTTGCAATATAATATAAAGATGGACTCCTCATTAACAAACAATCCGAAACCAGTTTTAACGTGCTTAACTAACAGATCATGGACATTGACGTCAGTCAAGTGATGTGAAATAGTAGTAAAGCTGACCATATTATATGTTGGTTGTACCTCAAATTGCAAATGACTAGATGCTATAACGACAAATAGACTTATGAGTGACTCTAACGGTCATTCTACTAACCAATGAAATGATCGATTAGGTTTCTCTGTTTCGTCTAGACTGATAGATTTTTTTCATGAGATGAAGAAGCTTTATTAGTTGTTTCAGTGGTTTCCAAAACACTTGCCAACGGTTTACCCTTGACCTATGAGTTACTGCTTGAACTGGAACGTGGACAAGGGTGCATCCATCATATTTTTGCCTTATGACAGGTTACAGAACACAAGCGATATACTTACCGGCACCGAATCTTGGCATATTTCTTGACCTGAAGGTGGAATTTGACTCTGTGAGGTGTTGTGGAAGTGTCTGACTGTGAAGGGAGTACCGAACAAGTATATAATGCTAATCAAAGCTCTCTATACGAATTCACGCAGCCGATGGACGGCTTGTGGATAGTCTTCATGTGAATCGACAACAGCCAGTGATGTTCGCCAGGGATGCTCACTGTCACCATTTCTCTCTGACTTTTTCACCTATGTACTTGTGGATATAATCTCAGGTACGTGTGACTTCACAAGGATTGACCTAATCCCTCCACGGCCTCTGGTTGATTTGGAGTACACATATGACATTGTCCTTCTGCGTGAAGACGATGACAAAATGCAAAATCTTCTGAAGGCGTTAAGCAGAAATCTGAGTATTTTAAGCACGAGTTTCGTACCTGCCAACTGTGAGATAACGCTCCAGAACTGGTCTCCAACCCCAATAGCGCAGATATATTCACTCCTTAGCATCTTCTAAAAATTGAATATTCGCACTAACCTTTATGTTCAGATTGTTTATTCTCTCACACAAATATGTTCATTTTGATATCACTTTTTCTATCCACCTGTTGTTTGTGTACCATTGTGAAGTGTGGCAACTTGAGCCAATGCACGTGTGTATGAAGTTCTACATTGATTTTTTTTGGTCAGTCAGTTAGTCACTCGAATTGAACCCGAAACGAGCTATAAATGCTCAGTTCTTTAAGTGTACAACGTGCGATTTGGGTTATACGCATGTAAGACTGAATTTCATGACCATAATGTACCGTAATTCGTAAAAATGAACTAATGGATTGCATACACAGAATTTGAGATTGTGTATGATAACTGGTTTCACTTAAAATACAATTATTTCGCAACCAGGAATAGTACGGAATTAAGCGAGCAGTCCATAGAACGCTTTTGAGCTGAGTTATACAACCATACTATAAAATAAGTTTGAAGTAAAATGTCTTGTAAAATAAATGAAATAGTATGAGCAATAACAATCGCATGGAATTCCTACTTGAGTTTCTTCGGTCCATCATAACTTTTGCACTCAATTAAAAACCATCTACAAAGTCTTAAAAGCAATGCTACTGAAAATCTGAAAACACGAGGAGACCTACCATATAGTACAACTAGATGAAAACTATGCTGGAAAAAAAAGAAGCAAAACTTACTTCTTCGTCTAGAATAGTCTCTTTTTTAATCACTTTCATTGCATAAATTCGATTGGTTGGTTTGTGTTCCACTTGAAATACTTTAGCATAACTACCACGACCAATCACTTTCAATAAAGTGAAGTCATGCAAACCAACACGTCCAGAAGTGATAGGAATATCAGGAATATCTGTGATACGTTGTTCTACAATTGGTATAGATTTAGCACCGTCTTTATTAGTGGTAATCATGATTGGAAATGATGTGCCGTCACCAGAACGAATGCCACCAGTTTCATTTGTCGAATTATCTGAACCAGATTTGAGCTAGATTTGAATTATTTTATTTATAAAAGAGAAGTAAAAGTAGGTAGATAATTTGTTTAAAGATGAACGCAGAGAATGATAGACAAAAAGATCCATTTGTAAAACAGTTGAGGTGAACACTTTAGCATTTGATCTTAAGCCCATCCACTTGAATAATGGTACTTACTAACATGGAGTGTCGACTTATTTTTTTTATACAATGAAAAACTGACTGCTTTTTTCACATTTAGTCCTCCTATCATTCACAATAATGCACTTGGCAATGGATAAAGATGAATGTTATCTGCCACGTGAGCTTATCAATGTTAATGAAAACCAACTCCTTCTATAGCCGTTTGGATGCATGTTCAGTCAGCCATTATTAAAAATAGGATCCAGTATTTCTCTGTGAGGGGATCTGGATTACCACACACTCACAACATACAAGACATGAAGACGAAATATGGAGAAATAGGAGGAGAAATACAATCAAAATATATTCGAAAGTCAAAAGAGGAGAAGGGCTGAAACAATAACTGAAAATCTAGCACACTGGCAGAAAACAGAATATCAGTCAGCGGTTAAGATGGATAGAGTAAAGGTCAATCACAATGGCGAATCCAAGGAAGGTTATTAAACGGTCATAATTATACACATTTTATGGAAGTTTCTCGAAGAAAGTAACAACAAGAGTAACAATCTAAATATCCAGGGACTTAACACTATATGATTACGCAAGAAGCCATACCATAAACAATTAAAATACTGTGAGTTAAACTTATTTAGTTGGAAACATTCGATATGAGCAAAATATGATGCAAGTAAATAAGAGTGAAGGGATAAACATCTAAGATTGATAAAGAATGATTTAACCAGATAACAGTCAAGAAGAGATCAATAAGGTAGACAGAGTTTGACAATGGCTTTTTTTGTAACATATGGATCGTTTAATGGCTATAGCTTCAGGAAACTTCAGAAGAATTAAGGACGCCCACTTGATGTCCAGTATCAATGAAATGTCAAGTGATTGAACTGTCTAAAGTGTTACGTTACTTCACTTCAGTTGTACGCTCTTCAAAATGTGTTCAGGAAATCTAAGATACGCCATTCTTTCAGTCCCTCCAACTTGTCTGACTCATTTTACCAGTATAACGACATCACTGTCCGACTAGATATGCAAAGTGCACACTTATGAACTGACTGTGAAAAGTCAGTTGAACTCAGTCAATTAGCAACTGTATCAGAACTACAAGAATTTGATAGATAATGTATTTTTGTCGGTCTTATCAGGCCCTATCTTTGATTACAATGTTTCACGCAGGATAAGGAATAAGTCAGACTATTTTGGATCGCCAGGCCCTCGAGTGGAATCCAAAGGGGAAACGATGAATTGGGTGTCCAAGGGTGACATGGAGGAGGTCATGTGAGGAAGAAATGAAAGCTTGTGGGCAGTTGTGGCACCAGGTTCAAAAGACTGCAGAGACGAGAGTGCAATGGAGGCGTGCTACTGAAGCCCTATGTCCCACTAAGAACCCAAGGGAAAAATAATAAAATAATAATAATGTGTACTATTTAATTAATGCTATCGGGATGCCATAAAAATCACATATTTTGACTTTGTCGTTGTGATCTATGATCACCTTAACAGGATTAATTTATTCCTTTTCACCCGCATTCTGCTTTTATTTTATTTCAATTAAGGAGAAGACAATAGCTAGGACGAGGAAATAAGTTGTTGATGTATTTAACGACTATTTTATTAGCATAAATTCAAACATACATACGTTCATAAATGTTTACTTTTTAAAGATTTATTTAGAGATAGGTCCTGATGAAACTTTAACAATACTACTTATTATCTCCAACTTTCGTCTCTTCAGTGTCACTACGGACACATTCCCTCAGTCGCTTGAAAATAACCGTCAAATTATATAAACAATCCTTAAACTACTAAAGACAAACATTTGTAACCTCTCCACAAAGTTTTTTTTCGGAACAGTAGTTTACTACTATAGAGCTCCATTTGGAATGGGATGAGTCTATTTGGTTAGACAGATGATGTGATGATGATGAATGAGGAGCTACGTATCACCCCCTTGATTAGGCGAAAGCTTCAGTAACTGACGTAAAACTGAGACTTGACTAGTGGTTAGGTCTCGTCGAGTACCGGACCGATCACCTGAACGCTACTGGTTTACACGGTCATCGTCTTATTAAATATGACTTAATAGTACTTTTTTCCCTAACACAAAGTGCTCTATAAATGATAACAAATACACTTACATGTGAGTGTCCATATTTAGTTATTCCCCGAGTCAGAAATTTACTTGATATCAACGTATTATTACTATCATTATTTGTCCCTTGGGTTCCTTGTGAGACATAGGGATTCAGTGGCACGTCTCTATTCTACTCTGTTCTCAGAAGTCTTTTGAACCTCGCTACACGACTGCCTACAAGCTTTCATTCCTTCCTCACACGATCTCCTCCATATCACTCGTCGTTTCCTATCTGGGCTCCACTCGAGGGCCTGGCCTGGCGCGTTATGTCCCCAGTCGGCCTTCTCAGTGTATGCCCAATCCATCTCCACTTCCTTCTGCATATTTGTTGAGTGATAGCTTCTTGGTTGGTTCGTTGGCAGAGTTCCTCGTTGCTTATTCTTTCCGGCTATCTGAGCTTCAGTAACGAGCGTAGACAGTTGTTGATGAATGTTGATATTAACGTAATCACCAGTATTTTCTTTCCATATTAAATATGGTATGGTATGGGCTTCTCACATCTGCCATTACAACAGCCAAACCTCAAAACAACATCTCGCAAAATTTTATGTGTAACCAGCCTCAAGCTGATGTCCCGTGGGCTCTGCGTTCACGAAAAAACCCTTCTTTTTCAGCTGCCTCAAGAAGAACTACCTTTCCATGGTGTGAGGAGCCGTGAAGTGTTAACTACCCGCATGCACGCTATGCTAGGAGTACTCAAGATCCAATCAAACATAGCATATCTTCCTCAACTCTATCTCTTCCTTTGCCAGCACCCTCTGATGCTAGTATTAAGCCTCTTATACCCTACCCAACTTCTCAGTCTTCAACCATTGCCAACAATCTATGCCATCGAAACCTCATTCCTAGTCACCCAAGACCCCACCATATATTTCATTTAGGAGCTCTATGTTGAATCTGGCAGCAGGCATCACTCACCAGAACTCCGGAGCCTGTAATCATGGATGTGTGTTGTGTCTCTCAGACACGCATACAGAAATAACTCGAATGTGGTTATTAAGTTGACCTCACCTGGCCATAGTGGTGAATCTTCGGAACTCCCCTTATGGGTATCTGAAGACTAAGTGGCTAGGCTCTCGTGAACTCACTGGTGTAGGCATACCATTGAGTTGTAGAGTGGGAAGTGCGCTTCTCGATTGAAACAAGTCACTTGCCGTCTATGTGCTGTTCGACTGAATGGATGTGTAAGAATTACGATGGTAGTTGTTGAGCAATAATATATCCTTTATATGTTTAGTTCCTTGAGGTAGATTTTTTACCTCATTAGCCAATCTTTGTGCCCCCTTACTTAGACACTTGACCAAGCCCGTCCTAACTGATATCAAATGAGGTGATCTGAAGTCTAGGTATCAGCTTGAGTATGACTACTTTTCAGAGACTAACATCTGAACTGCTATTTTGCCTTCTTTCAATCTTCTAATCCAACCTAGCTGGATCACCTTCGCCACCGTCTTGTTCATCAACTACTGTATGGGGAAAGAGATTGACAACTGAGGCTTTGTTCATCAATCGACATCTGATACATGTAATAGGGATTATGTAACGCCAATCCCGGCAGAGTTTGTGAAAATTTCTACTAACAACTAAACTAAAGAACGAAAAACAATAGAAGTATAATACCCAGACCAGAAAGTTGTGATTACCTTGAAATGGTTGTGAGCAGTGAATTCTGAACATCAGTTAGTAAATAATACTGTTCCACTCTGATACCTATATAGACAGAACTATAACAGAAGGACAGTTACGCATAGTTTTATCGAACTGGCAGGAAAGTATTGACGGAAACAAGGAGTAGAATAGACTGAGAATAGTGTAGAAGGCTAAAAAGACGGAAATTGTAGGTGACGTTCAGAAGACTGACTACTCATCCAATGCCTAGACGAATGTTATCAAATGAAGAGGTTTACAAGCGAATGGCGACGAAAGCTTTCTGCAGTTGAGAAATTAACGTCATTAGTCTAATAATAATAATAATAATAATAATAATAATAATAATAATAATAATAATAATAATAATAATAATAGCTCTAAGCGTAAAATCAATATACGCAACAGAAATAAACCAATCAAAAGTATGAAAGATATTTATGCAATGTGAGCTAAAAAGGCACTGATCAGCAACCAGTAAACTTAACAAGGGTTCTGTACGAGTCTTAAGATGACAGTCTGTATTTCAGTAGTAGCCTCAATTATAATTCAATTTTTCAGATAGACATTTATGTAAAGTGAGGCTCAATTAAGCGTAATTATGTTGATAAAGTGAATAAACAGTTACTCAGTAAGGTTATACATTTTCAATCTCATTCATATCACGCATTTAATGAACTGCTGTCCTAGGCATACTGCTTTTTTGATTTCTTAAACTGAAATTATTGGAGAGTCAACACCAAATTTCCACAAAAAAAAAAAGAAATATCTATTGATCACATAAATTGAGTCATTGTTTTGAATGGTAACTACTTTCAGAAAATGTAATAAATGTGAGTTCATCTAATTATTGATTACTTTGAATCACTCTATCTGTTGACGCCGGAATAACTAACAGCTCTACTGAACATATTTCGACCATCAAGTTTCAGCTTTTTCAGGAAAGTGGTCGAAATGAGAATGATGATTCATTCGTCTGTCTAGCTTTCAGGAGGGAAGGGAGTGGGTAAATTGATGAAC